CTTATTTTTTCATTCTGTGGATAATGATGGTGTCAAGGCTAGCACAAGTACCGAGTGAATCTTCCCACCAAGGCCTAAGCAGATGGGAAGAAATTATCTAGTGTTTTTAAATCTCTGCTTTGACTTGAATCTTCAATGTGTGCACACACTTCACTAACTACTAGGACACATCCTTGGGTGTAGCACACCCGGTGTAACACACCTAAGGCTGGCAAAACTGGCTCAAGCCCATTCAACCCACCCAGTATTTAATGGGTCGGGCATGACAGATTTCCTAATGGGCTATTTTGGGCTGCACCCATTTTAACCCACAAAAGAACTTAGCCCTAACCTAACCCGTGTCAAACTAGACTTATCCAAGTACTACGTAGCTGTAGCTTTTCTAGGAATATGCGCAGTTTTTCAAGTACCACTTTGAAAGTAATAGTTGTCAGGTATTGTTTTTGCTTTTTTTATACTCCTAGTCTCCTACATTTTTTTGCTTCTAGTTATGGCCAGCTGGGTTTTGCAATTGTATCTTCTTCCTTCTTTTTTTTGCATTTCATCTTCTTTTTTCTTTAGATGAAGTAATTTGTTTATTGATGGCATCAAGAAGATGCAGTAGTACAAAAGATAATACAGCAAAAAGAACTAAGTCAGCTCTAATACAAGAAATGCTAATTTAAGACCAAGGTGCTGACAAAGTTCAGAAAGCTATCAGGGGTGTCTGTAGGGGACAATTTGTGCCAACTAAAAAGAAACATTATGCACCTAGCCTTAATAGAGTGAATTGGGGTTGATACACCATCAAAGCATTTCATGTTTCTTTCTGCCCATAAACACCAAAAAAGACTAGCAGGGATCATTCTCCAGATTTGCTTGATGGTTTTATCAACTTTCCATGTGTTCCAGTTTCTAAAGGCTTCCTTGGTGCTCTGAGGCATGACCCAGTTGAATCCAAAAAGTGAGAGAAACATGTTCCACACATCTGCAGCTACTGGACAGTGTAGAAACAAATGGTTGTTGGTTTCTTCATTGTTCTGACACATGTAGCGTCTATTTGCAATCTGGAAGCTTTTTTTCCTTAGATTATCTTGAGTGAGGCATGCATCTTATAGTGCAGTCCAACAAAAGCAGGTGACTTTTAAAGGAGCTCTTGTTCTCCAAATAAGCTTCCATGGCCAGCTTTCTACCATTTCATTTTGTGCTATCAAAGATGTATATCCCGCCTTGACAGAATAGAGACCTTCCTTGGACTTGCCCCACTTTAGCTTGTCTACTGCTTGAACATTGATTCCATTATTTTCTACCCTTGACAGTAGATTTAGCAGCTCCTCATACTCCCAGTCTTGTATATACCTTCTAAGAAGAATGTTCCAACTGTTATTTTCCCTGTATTGAGCAATGGATGAGTCAGGATGACAAGAGATGTGATAGAGGTTTGGAAAGTCATCTTTTAGAAGACAGTTCCCTTGCCATTTATCTTTCCAGAATTTGATGAGCGTCCCACTTCCTGTAGAGAAGTAGGCATTCTGATAGAATTCATCCCAGAGTCTGCTAATGTATTTCCAAGGTCCAACTCCATATGAGGCTCGGGAGATTTTTGTACACCAATGGCTTTGGGCTCCATGCTTAGCTGTGACTACCTCTTTCCAAAGTGCTTGGTTTTCCTGAGAGTATCTCCATAACCACTTCATTAGTAAACTTTTGTTATGTGTAGCCAAATTTTTAATGCCCAATCCACCTTGTATCTTAGGCATTGTGCATTTAGACCATTTTACAAGGTGGAATTTGTGTTCCTTACTATTCCCTTCCCACAAAAAGTTCCTCTTGATTTTGTCAAGTTGTCTCAGTACCTTGCTAGGCATAGGGAATAATGACATAGTATATGTTGGAATGCTGTCTAAAGTGTTGTTAATCAAAGTAAGTCTACCACCCATCGAGAGGTACTAGATCTGCCAGGAGGCTAGCCTTTTCTCAAATTTTTCAATCACACTACCCCAACTGAATGTAGCTTTAAACTTAGCACCCAATGGAAGTCCCAGATATGTTGTTGGGAAGGAGCCAGTGTTGCAGCACAAAATTTCTGCCAACTCTGCCAGATTTGTAACCTCATTGACAGAATATATAACACTCTTGAGCATGTTGATATGAAGTCCAGATAAAGCTTCAAAGATTAGCAGGGTAATATTAAGGTAAAACATTTGTCTTGATTCAGCCCCACAAAATATTAAGGTATCATCAGCATACAAAAGGTGCGAGACATTGACTGAGTTTGTTGTCATGTTGCCAACATCAAAATCATTGATCCATTGTAGTTCCTTGGCTTTATCTAACATTCTGCTAAGACCTTCCATGGCTAGAATGAAGAGAAAGGGTGATAATGGATCACCTTGCCTTAGGCCTTTCTGAGGGAGAAGAAGTCCACTGGACTCCTATTAATCAGCACCGAGTATTTAGCTGTTGTGATGCTGAACTTGATCCATCTAATCCACCTGTCTCCAAATCCCATCTTCTTTAGCATAGTAATGAGGTATGACCAATTGAGTTGATCAAATGCCTTCTCTATATCTAGTTTGCATACGATGTCTGGTTCCCCACTTTTCATCCTCCAATCTATGATTTCATTTGCAATTAGGGCTGCATCAGTAATCTGTCTATTTCTTATGAAAGCATTCTGATGGTTAGAGACCAGCTTCCCCATGACTCTTTTTAGCCTCTCTGCCAAAACTTTGGCTGCAATCTTGTATACACTGCCAATTAAACTAATTGGTCTAAAATCCTTTAGTTCAATTGCTCCCTTTTTCTTTGGGATTAGAGTTATGAAAGAAGCATTTGTGCACCTTACCATGTAGCAGTGTTGATGGAAGTGATCAAGTGCATTCATTACATCATTTTTAATGAACTCCCAAGCCTTCTGGAAGAATGACATAGTGTAGCCATCAGGATCAGGGGCCTTATCTGGAGCACATGACTTAATTATTGCTAGGACCTCTTCCTCTTGAAATGCCAGCTCAAGATCTGTTTTCTCCTCTTCTGAAATGCTTGCTAGACTTTCAAATTCAGCACAAGGTCTCCAGCTCTCCTGTTCAGTGTATAGTTTCTCATAAAATTCTAGAATTTCCCTTTTGATAGAGTCTTCGTCCTCGATAATCTCTGGTCCTACTTTGAGTTTGTCAATACAGTTGTTCCTCCTATGAGAGTTAGCCATCTTTTGAAAATATTTTGTGTTCGTGTCCCCTTCCTTCAACCACAAACACCTGGATTTTTGCCTCCATGAGATCTCCTCAGCCTTTATCAGTTGTTGATACTCTTATTGTAGAGCTAACATCTGTGATTTCTCTGCTGTGGAATGNTTCTCTACTGTGGAAACTGTTCTGTTTTCAGCAATTTGTTCAAGAGAGAGATGCTCGTCTAAGATTTTGTTCTTTCTGGCCTCTAACTTGCCAAAGACCTCTTTGTTCCAGTGTGTGATGTCCTTTTTGAGATTCTTTAGCTTCTGAACCAGTATGAAATCTGGACTACCACTAATTATATAACTCTTCCACCAAGCCTTCACTTTGTTCTGAAATTTCCGATTTAACTTTTTGTCCTTTTTTGAAACAATTGGTTTTGCGTATAAAATTCTTTTCTGGAAAGGATTGCTAATTTTTTGTTCTGGATAATTGATCACTTTAACTAAGAAAATAATTTAAACTAAAAAGACAAAGATCATAGTATAAAATTGTGGAGAAGAAATAGTGGGATATTAATTTCTGCTAAAGATTAAATAAATGTGAAAGTTACAAAAATAAAATAAAATCGATAAAGCTGATAACGAGTCTTGTTTATCAACGTATCCATGAAGAAAAAATCAAACTAACTATTCTGCTTATAAAAAAGGTTACTATGAAAATTTTGTTAATGAATGTTAGATCACTTAGATGTTGCCAAAGGACTAGTTGGGTGGGTTGGGTTATGACCCATTATTTAGCCCATCTTGACCCAGCCCAAGTGAGCTTTGGGCAGGGTTGGGCAATGACCCATTTATCAATTCAGCTCATTTTGACCTGCCCAAAATCTGCCAACCGCCCATTTGACACCCCTAAACACACCCAAGAATCCTGATTAAAAAAAGAAAAGAAAAAGATAATCATGAAAGAGTTCCCGAGCCCTTAGTTGCTAATCGTCGAGAAGAATAAAGATGAAGAAGAATGTTTCCTTGCATTATTTCTACTCCTCTTAAGCAGCACAGGATGGTCTTTGAGTCACTCATGAATCTCTGCAATCCTATCCCCCA